GAGCATAATATAATACAAACATTTCAGCATTTTTTCATGCTTGGTTACATGTTGTGGTGAGCCTTTCCCATACATAATTGAATGATGAGATGGCCTAATTGTATGTTGAGATAAATATATTAGTGGGGATCAAACTTAGGTATATAGGATTATCATCATTCTCGGAGGCCTAAGCTGATCTCCCACATGCTTGTGGGCAACTGTGCCTGCAACGAGTACATGCTGATGGTGTTGACTGGCGACGCGACGGGGTGGCTCATGAGGTACGACCCGCTGACGGGCAATGTCACTGTGCTCAGGTCTGGCATGGCCTTCCCCAATGGTGTGGCCGTTAGCGCCGACAGGACGCACCTCATCGTCGCTGAGACATCCTCGTGCAGGCTGCATCGGCATTGGCTGCGGGGATCCGCGGCGGGGAAGACGGAGGTGCTCGTCGACCTACCGGGGTACCCGGACAACGTGAGGCCAGATGGAGATGGCATGGGCGGGTACTGGATGGGCAGCGCATGAGGAAAATCTCTTGACAGCAGCTTAGCCTCTTCATAGATGGTCCACCACTTCGTTCTTCTTACATGCATCATCGGAGTTGATTGCACTAACGACTACATATTTGTATGAGTGGCCCCATGTGGAACTGGCTTGTCATCTCTATACAGTGATCATCGGCGCATGACACTCGTGCACCTAGCATTGTTCCTGAATTGATGATGGTTAGTGGAGATTACTTGTTATATTGCACTCGAAGAATATCTTCTGGTACTGAATACCTATATATATTAACTCGGTATCCCGGGCAGAACGGTTGGATATGGGCCAATGGGTCTACTAAACACCCATTAATAGACCAGAGGTCCAAATGGCTTACTAAAGAAAATGATTAAAAACAACAATTTTGGCAAAAGAAAATGATTTGACATTCATGAGCCATAAAAGAAATTTGTCAATGAAAATGTTACTCCCTGTCGGGACCCCTGATTATACAATCCATGCGAGTCTACAAGAGCATCATTAGTACCCAGTTAGATGTCGGTTAGTTCGTCTGGGTGGCATGTCGCTTGTCATAGTTGACGTCGACCCTTTTCTTTTTTTTCATCATCTTATATCTTCATCGTCATGCACACATAGGTTCTTCCTCCTCATATCTCAAAGATTCGTACGAGTAGATCTCAGCTTATTTTTCTCCAAAATTAGACAGTAAAGTTTGACCAAGTTTATGAAAAAAATATTAAAATACATAGGATCGTTCTCTTTTGATTCTAAATCATCAACATCGCGACTAGGATCACCAAATTCACCGTGTGTGTCCATTCAGAAAAATATTGCACTCGTTGACACGTAAGAAAAAACCAAAATGGTAGTGGTGGCAAATCACAGATTCCAAGGAGGATTGCAACACGTAAATCCTCTAATTAGATTGTCGTAAGTGAATTGTTTGACTGCGTATTAAATCCCTTTAACTCTTCTACAACATGGTTTTCATTGCGAGGTCAGCACGGATATGTGAGATTGGCATGTATACCCAAATTTCTCATATCACAAAGTAAGCCTTGTAAACACAAATGGAGTGGGCATCCCAAATGTGCATACATCGCCATTGATCGTACATGAATAACATGTGTCCCGGTCACCGGGGTCGCCTCACAGATCAAATTCGATAGTTTAATGTTTCTAATAGCCCAACTAACCCCATTTCCATTAATTGCTTGTAAAAAATAACCAAGTCATACAAGTGGCAAAAACGAGGGATATGGGGATAATAAAAATATTAAAGAGGCTTGCGAGTTGATGCACTAGTAAGAAACCTGCTGAGAATATTTGTTCTCAGACAACCAGTATGGGGCAAAAACCTACTAGCACGAGATACAAATGTTTGAAAAGGTTGGGGCTCATAGCACAAATTTCAAGCAAAAGCAACACTTGCTCCAGTGATAGTCCCAAGCCACCTCCTGGAAAAACAGCAGCAATCAGCTTCGAGTAACGGTCGCCAGCGCCAAATCAAGGCCATGAATGGCAGCAGCCGTCACATCACCTGTGCTTCCATGGCATCTTACACCGCGGCGGTGGAGGCATCCGTCCTACATGGCTTCCTTGTGCTTCCCCTGACGGCCTGTCATCAAACAACTTACCATGCTTTCCTCCTCCCCCTGACCTTGCCTTCCCAAGCCCCTGAGCAAATTGGTTTCCTCCTTGTTCCCCTGGCAAGCCCCCAGACCCGTCACGAAGATCACTACATGAATAGCCTCCAGGTGATTCTCCGCCACCCCCTGATCAAGTTGGTCTCCTCCCATGGCCCGGCCTCAGCCCCGTGACCAAAGTCGCCAAATGCACGCCCTGGTGCCATCGCAACAAATTATATGTCAAAAATGCGCATCCACTTCCAAAATATAAGAACTAGAACTGACACGTGGTTGCGTACCTTTGCAAACGGCAGAGCATGGACGCGTGCGAGCAAGGACAGAGAAGAAGAAGACGCTTCATGTTCTCCCAGCTTCAGCTCCGAAGAAATGATTCGATCTCGCTTTGTGGCCGGGTTACTCCTCCTAGTTAAGTAGTGCCCTAACAGCAACGACAAGTGTGTCAAGTCAACAGATTGTCTGAACATCTAGATTAACCTAATGTAATCACGATCAAGTGTAGCTAAATAGATGCTCGGAGGCCCCAGGTCAAGTCAACTGCTCAAAGTCATCCATGCCGACACTTAATCTTTCTTGTCAGTGCATCTTAATCACAGTTGCAGGCTTGAAACAGTCAAGCAAAGCTGGTGGCAACTATAACATACAATTCGTACGCGTTGTGAACGATCGAGGCATGGCCACAAAAACATACGTGGTAGAGTCAAAATAGTTTTTACGATTACTCCAGCAACTCCGGCTCCTACAAGCTGCTACAGCTCGCTGAGCAGTTGTACTACTTGTCCACTTGAGATGTTCACTGTGTCCGCAATCCTCAAGTCAATCACATGTTTCGATCGGTGGCATGAATCGGACTCATGGGACCAGAATGCAAGTATACTGCAAGTCTGCGCTGCACTAAGCGGAGCAGCGTGGCAGTTCACCAATAAGCAAAATGGACATCGCAATTTCAACAAGAAAATCAGAGTGCGGCAGCGGAAGCGTAGTGGGCCCATAATGCATAGGTCCAAACCTAGCTCTAGTAATAGTTTCCCCATTGGATTGAATTGTTTTTGCTGGGCTATGATATTTTATGTGTTGTTCATCTATTTTTCAATGTGATGAGTTTTGAACTGGACTTTAGTTTTTCGTGTGGTCCATTTCGATTTTGTAGGATTGTTTGGCCCGTTTCTTCTATTCATGCATCTTTTGAACTGATTCTTAACCTGAAAAAACGGTCTTGGATCAAACCGTTTGACTTTTTTTTCAGGCATTGTACATACGTTTTACAGTGACATTGTAGAAATTTTCTAGACGTGCATTTGTCCCTCCGTCCACGAATAAGTATACATCTATCATATGGTACAACAAATTGCTTTTCTTTCCCCTCCGGTAAGGCGATTAGGGAAAGCCTTTCTCCCCTTGATTTTCGCCGGCAAGCCCGTGCATCCAGCTCCACTCCGACTGCCAGTGGCGAGAAGAGGACCTTGTCCCTCGGCTCCGGCTAGTTGATAGGTAGGGTTTTGGTCCTTCTTTTTTCATTGCATCCACTTAATTTCAATCAAGTCAAAATAAAAAAAGTGAAGACAATTCTTGACCAAAAAATCAATGAAAAGAAAGAAAAATAATATAGGAATCAACTATAGCAAAAAGTAATTGGAAAAAACCAGCAAATCTTCCATGCTTAAATGTCCCACGAGGTGCTTCAGAAGAGCATAAAATCATTCTAAGAATGAGAAAAAGGTATAAACCAAATGGGTTCTGTGGCGATGTAAGATAGAAAGAATGGGGAGTCCGGCCTTTGGTTTCCTCTGTAGCCATTTGCCGACATGCGGACTCAGTTCTCTGTTCAGACATATGACGAAGCTTCTTTGATATAGTCTTCCAGGCTTCAATCCTCCTCAAGCTCGTCCATTTGGACGAATTAGATAGAGCTCCTATGTAGATTCCTAGCAAGTCCTTGGCACGGCAGGCTTAGGTTTGTTGTCGTGCGTACACAACGGTGAGATTTGGTGTCAGATTCTTCAGATCGATTCAATGATTCAACACCAACGACTGCAGCTCTGGGACACTAGTCCTTAGGGGCACGTGCAGGAAGACTTCACGACTGTCATCCATAAGATCAGGTCGACTTCAGTATGGGAGCGGTGACAGTAGCACGTCGGTGGCTCGTTCTGGTAGCAGCAAGGTCGTTCGGTGGTCCAGAGACCTTGATGTATTTTATTATTATTATGTTTGAGGTGCTTTGTGTTATCCCGTGAATCTTTATTTAGTCTAAACCTTTCCGCAAAAAGATCATATTTCATACAATAAAATTATAAATTTACATTTAATTTGCACGTTGACATGCAAAAGAAGAGTCACTATAGTTCGGTGGCCCATTATAGTATGAACACAATTCAACTTCAAATTTTGTCGAGCTGACTATTTTTTCTTTTGTTTTCTGAGGAAACTACAGCGGGCAAAAGCCAACCTGAACATATTTTTATTTTGTGAAGAGAAAAAGGCAGGATAAGATAGCGTTGGATCAGTAGAAAGGAGATCGGCCGCCAAGAAGATATACAGAAGAAGTCACTGGCTTGCTGAGTCACCCATTTGCATTAAGACGAGAAAATAAAAAATATTTAAGAGACTTGCTAGTTGGAGCACCAATAAGAAACCCATTGTGAATGCTCGCTCTCGAACAACAACTATGAGAAGAAGAAAAAACCTCGCACGTGATACAAATGTTTAAAAAAGTTTGGGAGAATAGCACAAACTACAACCGAAAGGCAGCACCTGCGCCAAAGATAAGCATCCTCCCAAACCACCCCCTAGAAAGACCAGCAGCCATCACCTTCCAATAACCGCCCGGGGCGCCAGATGAACGTCATGGCAGGAGTCGCCACATCACCTGTGGTTCCTCGGTGTCTTACCCCGCGGCGCCGAAGGCGTCCGTCCTACTTGGTTTCCTCCACTCAACCCAACCCCCTCACCAACATGATTTCCTCCTGCCCCTGGCGCTGCCTCCCCACCCCCGTGATCAAATTGGTTTCCTCCTCTCCCAGGCCCTCCCTCCCCACCCCCCTGATCAAATTGGTCTCCTCCTCCCCTTGGCCCGGCCTCAGCCCCCTGGCCAAAGTCGTCAAATGCACGCCCTGATGCCATCGTAACAAATTATATGTCAAAATGGGCATCCACGTCCAAAATATAAGAACTATAACCGATGCGGTGGTTTGGTACCTTTGCAAACGGCAGAGCATGGGAATGGCAACAGGGAGTAGCAGCACACGATCACCAGAAGGATTGCCATGGCGCGTGGGAGCGGGGACAGAGAATAAGATGACCTCTTCATGGTCGATTGGAGCAGCAGCACACAATCCTATCCTGCTTTTCCGGCTTCAGTTCTGAAGAAATGATTCGATGTCTCTTGTGGTTGTGGCTGGGTTACTCATCCTAGTTAAGTACTCAGACAGCAAAGACAAGTGTGTGAAGTCAACAGATTCTCTGAACATCTTGATTAACCAAATGTAATCACGATCTTCGATGCCGCCATTGAAAGTCTAGCTAATACTGCTCGGAAGTCAAGAGCTCAAAGTCGTCTCTGCGACACTCAATCTTTGGTGTCAGTGCATCTCAATCCAAGTTGCAGGCTTGAACCGGTCAATCTTTGGTGTTAGTAACATAGAATTTGAGGCATGCATGCATGGCCACTAAAACGTACATGCTGCCGGTGGTGACCTAGCATCGTCCTCCATGTATGCGCCACAATCCCCGGTGGCCTGTACGGATCAATCTACAATAATCATGGTAATGGTATCTCTTTGCGATTTCATCCTATTCATGATTTCGCATCTGCAAAACAACATAGTCACCAGAGGGGATCCAACTAAGTAAAACAACATGATCTGCCTGACCCTACCAAATTACCAACATGATCTGTGTGATCCTACCAAATTACCAACATGCTCTGTGTGACTTAGGAAATTCTTATTATTGCAACATCCAGATGATCTTTGTGACCCTACAAAATTACCAACATGCTCTGTGTGACTTAGGGAATTCTTATTATTGCAACATCCAGATGATTAGTCACGCAAGTGAATCTCAAAAGGTTGACTGGATAATTGAACAAAGAAATAGATCATTATAATTTAGGTGGAAACAATATTCTGGTAGCACTATGTTAAGTAACATGTATGGATATCTGCATCCAGTTGTGATGTACAAAACATATGGTCTAATGGTAAGAGCATATCAGAGACTGTGGTTTCCACACACAAATAGGAGTGCTTATTTACCACATGAGCTCTGCCATCAATTCATTCACCAATTCAGCCCAAGTAACCATTGAACATGAAAAAGTGGCAAAATTATGTCAGATGGATATCTATTCCAGAACAGAATTTAACATATCAGGACTATACTAACCCTCTGAATATGACACAACTTCAGTTCGGTAAACAGCACTATTGTGTAATCAAAAGATCCGCAAATCCATAGAATCTGTAGGTGCGTGATATATATATGTATTTAACAGAATATCATACCACCAGCAGCATACGATTTATATATGCTTGGGTTTTCAGGAACTCATCGACAAGGGAGCCAAGGACGAGCATACACAAAATATTCAGATTGAAGGCATGATAATCAAAGATGAGGATATGAACACCGAGTCAACAAAGGCAATAGAAGAACAAACCATCAAGGATGATACAGAAAATATGGAGATTGATGAGGTGATACTCTAAGTCGACAAAGGCGGTTTTTATTTTCACATGTCATTATTATTTTTATTCTGGTGGGACAAAACAATATGTAATTTGTAGTATAATAATATCATGCCTACAATTCTTTACTAACCTTAATAATATTTTCTGTTTTATAATTACTGGATAATATTGTATTATTATGTGTTTCAGTTAGTAAGCAAGGAAGAATCAAATGGAATAGACAACAAAGATGGAGTAGAGAAAAAAAATAGCAGACAAACTACTGATTGTGAAGTGACAAAGGCATGCTTTCTTTTCGGGTTTCCCAAATAGTTCTAATTCTAATTATTTTATATCCTCCATACAAATTATTCTTTGTAATGTTCCTCTGAGGAATTAACCTTCAAGGAAACAAGTGAACAAATGCAGCCAACTCAAGACGATGAATTAGCACAAAGATTCGACACCGAAGGGGGAGAAAATATAGGGGACAAGCTGGCAGAATCAAATGGAATAGCCGACAAAGATGAAGTGCACAAAATGAAGAGCTCACGGTTCACTGAATCCGAGGTGACACGGGCATATATATTTTTTCAACTATGTCCCAAATAGTTCTAATTCTAATTCTATTATATCTTGTAATGTTGCTCTCAGGAATTAACCTTCAATGAAACAAGTGAACAAATGCAGCCAGCTCAGGATGAGGAATTAGCACAAAAATTCGACGCAGAAGGGGCAGAAACTATACGGGAGACGATGCCAGAATCAAATGGAATAGCTGACAAAGAAGAAGTGGAGAAAAAGCATAGCATGCAGTCCACTGATTCCGAAGTCGCCGAAGTGACAGAGGCATCAGAGGACGAAGAATTAGCACACACATCCGGCATGAAAGGGGCACAAACAGGGAAGCCTATCCCTATCCCTATCCGACTGCGTGGTGGCTCCACAAGGCATGAACAAATCCTTCTATACCCTGCTTTTGCTACACTAATTTTCTTCATTATTAATAATTCTTCTTTCTTACATCATGATAGATTACGCCTGCACCGGCGATGATTGGTCCGTGATTGAAAATATCATGTCTGAACCAACCGATAAAAGAAATTTAGTGAGCATCAACGACTCATATCTAAAAAAACAGTTACTACGTCTTTTAACCACCGGAGAATTTGTTGGCGACGAAGTAAGTATATGTAGTTTCATGACAAGACGATTTTAACATAAGTTCCTATATCTCTTATAACCAAGGTGTGCACTTGATATTGTAGATCATAGACGCATATATACATTGCATAAGTGCTAAAGAGCATCTACAGATGAGGTCAGGTGGAAGTGTGTTCTTAGAGAATGCATGCATCTCTAAGATGATAAAGGAATTTAGCTCTATACGGGATGACATACCAAGATGGGTATTAAAGAGAGCTACAACTTATTTAGAACATGATATGGTGAGTCTCAGTTCCGTACATATTACTATGATGAATTCAATCGAGGACGGATGTTTGTATAGATGAGACCTAAACTAACAAATCCCTTTTTTCAGATATTCATTCCAGTAAACATTGAACGCTTTCATTGGTACCTAGCAGTTATAAATACCAGGGTGAAACGTATACAGGTGCTCGACTCGCTATGCCCAGGAATGCCCCGCCAAGACCTTACCGCCATGGTTAGTTATTAGTCCCACTGCACCATCTTTTGATAATACAATTTCTATCATTCTTTGCTTCTGATGCTAATACTTGGTCATTTATTCATGTAATAGCTGGAAGGACTGAAAAATATGTTCCAATATGCATCGCTTCAAATGTAACTAAAATTGGATAAGTGGAAAGACGTAAACATCACAGCATGGCCAATGGAGGAGTGTCTTAAGATCAAACTGCAGACAGATGGGTATACCTCTTTCGATTGAAACTTGTTGCTCTCATCCCCTTTAGGCACCTCCTTGTTCTCCTTCAAGATATCTGAATTATTAAGGGCCACATCATCAACAGCGGCGCCGAAGGCAGTGCCTGCTCGGAACACGCCATGGCTCCCGAGCAGCTAACCCTAGGGGACGAACATTGCACACAGTGAGGCTATGCACAAATTTGACGGGAAGGAGCGGGCGGTGGGGTCAGAGAGACTAACCTGTACCCGGACAAGCGAGGAGAAGCGTAGGGAGGGTTGTCCCCCGAGCAGCAGCACAGCACACGGAGGTCTTCATTGTCATCTTAATCAAGATGGAGGTCGCGAGCAGCAACTACTCCTGCTCCTGACCGAATCAAACAGGGAAAATTAGGTGGGATCGGAGAGTAGAGCATCCGGATCCAGGGGAGAAGAAGACTTGGAACCGGACCTTCATAGCGTCCCGAGCAGGGGGGATTCGTGCCGCGCGGGAGAGTTTGGATAGGCTCCTGACGGCTACATCGCATCAGGACGACGAAGGGCCAAGGCGTCGCCGGCAACCATGGCGACCTCGAGCGCCCCGACGTTGCCAGGAGGAGGGAGGAGCAGGGCCTACCCGTCCGTCGGCGCTGGTGACGAGGGGGGGCACCAGAGAGTGCACGCGGCAGATGGCCCCGGCGTCGCCAGGAGGAGTGAGGGGCGGCGCAGAGCAGATCGTCGGGCCGCTGGCTGTGGATGGGAATCTCTTGGCCACGGATGAGGGAAGAATGGGGAGGAAAGGAGAAATGAGGGGGCGGTGGGAGTTTGACTGAGTGCGGTGTTGTCCAAATAAAAATATACTGTACTGTATTACATCTTCTAAATAAACATTATATTTCATAGGGCATGTCCGGTTCACTAAGTTTGTGAAAATTTTGTTTTCACCACGCCTTATTTCAGTCATGATCATTTGATGATTCTAAAAGTTGTTTTATACAAATATCTATAAATTTGATAAAAAATGATTGAGTTTATTTAAGTTTTATATTTGTAATCATGCTGGTCATCTTGTGGTCTGTGAATGGTAAATTTTATGGAGTACTTCACAGGAGTTATATTGTCTGACATTCCTACACAGGTTATTTTTTACTGTGTATCATTACATTTATTCTATGTTGTATCACTTTTAACTTTTATTACTATTTTAATAGGAACAGAGGACAGATTTTAGAACAAAACTAGCTGTCATTTTAGTGGACTCAGAATTGAATGATGATAATATAAGAAATCGAGACATGGAAGAGGACGAAAACAACACAGATCCCACAGAATGTATGATTCTGGATAGACCCCATGAGAATTTCAAAACATCACATACATCAATAGAAGTTGAGCTCATCCTGCGGTCATTTATTCTTTCACCGTCTATCAACCCAACAAACGATGATTTAATAGATGAACTTTGCTTGTTCATCAATATGGTTGATGATGTCGCTCTACTAGAGTAAGTAATATTTTTTAGTTCATTTTATATTCCAACAAATTACTCTGATGTCATTATAATTTACAGAATTTTGATTTTACAGGAGCGAATGGGTGAAAAGCTCTGATCCGTACCCTATTAGCTTAAATTTGAGACAAATTAATAACATATTAAGTAATGATGAATACATGGATATTCATTGCTTTAATATGGCTGTGCGAATACTAGCGCGCCACGAAGTCCAGC